GACATCAGCATATGACGTAACGTTTATTATATCGTCTTCACTATTACTCCGTCGTCATCATATTACAGATTGTTACAGATTCTCTTAGAAATGTTGCAAAAACTAAGATGCTTTATTACCTTCCTCATGATACGGAACGAACGCAAATTATTATTCCCTCGATTCATTTTCGAATCTGCTGACTCTAATATCCATACTTTTTCCGGAATCTGCAACGTTAGTAGTATTACTTCTAACACCTCAGGTGGTACATGCTTTAAATTTTTTCGCTTGATTTCATATATAATATGTTAGTTGTCATAGTCAGCACAATTTAATCTGATTTACAAAACGATACATGAAATAGACTCACCCTTTGGTTGACGTCACTTCCTCTCTATAAATTTGGGCTTGGATCTAACAGGTAGCTGGAGCATATCATCTTTTCTTTCCTTACATCTCTATTTAGCGATGATAATTCATATCATTAGAGCACAAACTTGATGTCATATTCCTGAATTACCTCTGCGGTTTCTTTATTTTTGTCTATTTCATTAAGGTTAGCTAACCACTTTTCTTCAAGCCCAAAAGCAAGATAATGAGTTCAATTAATGGTCCCAAATATATACATTGACAATCAAATGTGTGGAGAGGAAACCCAGGGTGGCACGCAGACACCCCGTCTAGTATCGATGCTTTGAGCACAATTGTAGCAACACACCAAGGAAACCCAGAATGGCGCGCGGATACTCCGTCTAGTATTGACCGGCATTTAGCCAGATTGTGTTGTTAACAAGTTATGCTCATTTGCACACAAAAATATACCAACCTTGAACGATTCCTTTAGTGAAATTGCCTTTGAGCGCTTCAAAGGATCGTAGTTTTGCTCAATAAAATCCAGACACTTTTTGTACTTATAATTATAGACTTTTACAGGGTCGGACGAAGCAACCTTTGCTTAAGGTGTAGCGGATAAAGCTTGAGTGGGACCAGTTATCGACGGTATGTTCGTCGAAATAATTCGAGTAGGAATATATAGTATTGGTTGATCGCGAAATTGGTACAGTCGATTGCCGATAATTCGACCGCTTGCGGTCGGCGGTCATCGGTCGAATTAACGCAAAAGTCGAATTAACGAATATCCAATCATATGTACTTAATGGTAACACAATTTTATTATTTGAAAACTTAGCATAAG